ATTTGTAAAGCTGACCTCAAAAATTACACCTCTGAAATGCCCCATTTCCAAATAAACAGTGTCATCGTGAACCTAAACACTAGACTGCATAGCACATTAACATTCTTTTTAGTCTAGGCTTAAGCTTAAACTGGTGCTGAAAGTTTTGTATATATTACAAAAAAGTTAAAGCTTGTTTTTAGAACTTTTAGCTTTGGCTTAACAGTTGGTTCTTGTATTACCAAGCAGTTCAGTAACAGTTCAGCACATTGCATATTAAATTTTAGGATAGATTAATAGATCTTATTACTCTGAAATACCTTTCACGAGTCCTCTTAACTGCTCCAGCAAACTATTACAAATGCTTTATTAGTGAATATTTACTGTTTCACTATTCATACTTTGGACTACATATTCTATTAGTGGTGTTTAAAACTTATGTTTCCACAGCCAGTTTCGTGCCTGTTAACATATCTAATAAGGACATGTTGAAAAAGACACACAGTACTGCGCCACTTGTAGCCAACCAATTGCGTAAAATCTATCTTCACAAAAGGTATATTTTTGACACTAAAACCACTACATAACGTTAGAATAAATGAAGTAAGTAAAGCATAACTTTTTTTCTTTTTAAAGTTATTGATATCTTGGTTAGAAACATATTGTAAGCTAAAGTCGGTATTGTATGATAACTATAAATCTCTGAATACTGGACTTACTTGAGGAGAGGCCTGGAAATGGTTAAGCTAACACATTGATGCGCATCAAATCACAATGTGTTGTTTATTCAGGTTTTTGTATTAACTGTAATGTTAACATTTTCTTAAACAAATAAATGCTGACTGTCCAGAAAAATAGCTTTTCAACATATAACTGATTGCCTTTTGTACAGCACTGTATGTTAACTAAAGGAACAATCACTGAACTATCCTCATTCATTCCCATAATTATTGATCGGATTCGACTTTGATTAAACGCTACCAAAGGTTTTCTGCTTATATGTGCACTAATGTGTTACAAAACATAAGACTTTTTAGAAATGAACTCACGTTTTTCAATGAAAAGCTTGATTCCGTGACCAAACACCAGTTTGCCATTACTGCCAAGAGTCACACATCATGACAAACCCATACGTGAACCATACATACATGAGTTCTAGATCTGCTTATGGAATCGACTCAGTGTTTTCTAAGTAAACACTTATACAGGCTACTTATTACAGCTAAGATCAGGTTCATTATGTACTGTATAAAAAGGTTTAAAACACAGTGTAACGGTGCACCTCTTTCCCTGAATTGGCTTGTATCATATTACAAAGATGAAACTTACTAGATTCCACTGTCAGCCTGGTACCACTGCCAAATATGATCTTGGTGGCCCCAGCAGTATTCACACTGAGGTACACTCCTCATCAAATACTACTCACCAGAAAGACAATCAACAGATTATCAAATATACCTGAATAATGATAAAAAAAACTGAGTGCTTCCAGTTATTGATTCATATCGCATATTTTGGATTCTGGAAATGCTCTCTGACTTTTGATAGCAAAATAATAAGTAAAAGACTTTGTCCACCAAATATCAGAGTTTGTATTTCACTCAGCTATTTTTAATTAAATAAATTAAGTTGCTGGATTCTGTGATCACATCAGCTCTTTTTATTTTATCATTATTTTTCCGCATTTATTTACATATTTATTGATAGTTTTGGTGTATTTTAACTGTTTTAATTTCCATTTATTGATTCACTTTTATTTTTTATGTTTTCTCTCAGTATTCATAGCAAAAAAATAATAATTTTTTATTTATTTGTTATTTTATTTTAAGTTGTTAAGCTATTTTGACTTTATTGTGTCAGAACCTAGCAACCCTTACTTATATTCACAACTTTTATACATATTCGTAGATTAACTTTCCGTAGATTCAATTTTTAGTTAAGTTAAACTGATCTAAGATCAAATCAAGCATCTAGTATGTTGCTCGTCAATGTTGTTTTAGCAGTTTAAGAAATGTATTTATAACTATTTCCATTAAATGTCTGAAAAAATAGTTGACTACAGACCAAATAATGTTAATGCTACACTTTAGAAATTACAAAATGTCGGCCAGTCATCTCACATTCCCCATTTCTTTATGAAGTATTCCCATGATATAAGTCAACATAAATGAAGACGAACATTAAAATAATGTTACCTTTTTCAATGAACAGCTGAATGCCTTTGCCAAAAATGATTCTGTCTCCAGCAGTATTCACACTTCCCTTAACCTCACTACATTAACCTATTGTAAGGTCTTTGCAAAACTTTAGCATTTTTAAACTTGTTTAAAGTCTTCATGTAAATTATTCTTTTATAATATATATCGCTAAAGTCAGAAGAAAACCTCGTATCTCCAAAATGGTAACTTTACAGGAGAAGAAAAAAACCTACTTTACTTTTAATGTAAGTCAATGGAACCAGACTTTTTTCCAAGTCAGTTTTGGTCATTTCTTTTAGTCCAATCATCATTAAAATTTATACATACTGTAAAGGACAACAGGCATTTTCAAATAAAAAACTGAAAAACGACAAAAATGGAGATACAAGGTTTTCCTTCCTATATATATATATATATATATTATATATATATATATATATATATATATTCTACACTACTGTGCAGAACCCATGAACATGGTTTATAACTGTTTATCTTGGCAGTATAGTTGCCAGTAAAGACAATATAACATTAAAATAAAATCAAATACACATAAATACCATAACAAGTAAGAAACATAAGAACATAAGTTTGGTTCTTTTTGCTACGCTCCAGCCACTGCATGGATTTCTTGATGTAATTTATTTTATTTTACTTTGGTATTGGATGACAGCTATAAATACTGGGCTTCCTCACAATGCATTGTTGTTTTATTTATTTGCATTTATTGTAATATTAGTATTTTCTGAACAAATAAATGCTCACTGCCCAAGCTTTACACATCAGTTTATCATATGCTTAGTACTTTTGCACAGTACAATACAGACAAATTTGAGGGGTTACTATTGAGGGCTGTTGTTATTATAACATCACATTGTTTAGTCTGCAGTGTTACTAGTGATAAATCAGAATATGATTACATGAAGTTCTGTAAGGAAAATGTAAAAAATAAAACTTACGGTTCTCCACTGTGAGCTTAATACCGCTCCCGAAGATAAGTCTGTTGTTTCCACCAGTATTCACACAGCAGTTTAGCCCAGACTAAAAACTCACTCACTGTTACCCAACAATGTTAGCATGTACGTTCAACAATAATGTGTATTATTTAACCTGGAGATACTGTAATATTTATAATGGAAGGTAATATTTCAATGGTGTTGAAAGAGTCTAGAAATGAATGGTGAATGTTGAGCTTCGCTACTTAAACTATTTCCAAGTGTAAAATCTCTTTGATAATATATAGATTTGTTCATGTAAAACAATCACGCCATTTATGTGCTTACATTCTTAAACAAGACCAGTTCAATAACCCTTTGTCACTAGCAGTATCTACACTTAAATACGTTAATATAGACATAAGTTGACTGTAGGTCAATGCTACTCTTTTCAAACCAAAACCAGCTGCTGGTTTACAGCAGATCTGTTATGATTGGTGAATGATTGATCCTATATAGTTATCCTATATAGTTATGCTTATGGCACATCTATGCCTGAAAAGGTTAAAGAACTTACATTGGGGTTCAATCCCCTGCCTGGGCAAGCACCCTATACTATACCAAAAAGAATCCGTGGGCAAGACTCCTAACCCTACCTTCGCCTACCTGTGTAAAATGATCAACTTGTAAGTCGAATGCCATAATTGTAAAATGTAAAGTGTAAACTTACGTGATTCCACAGTTAATTTAGTTCCACTTCCAAAAATGATCTTGTCGTTTCCTCTAGTCACACCAAAGTACAGACCATAACAAAAATCCCTCGCCACTCAGAACCACTAACTCATCTATAGGCGGTGTATAGTAAGAATCAGGTATAAGAAAAATTCATTACTACTTTTTTTTATGTACAACTAAAATTCAGTTTAGTTTTAGTAGAAATAAGAATATTTTCCTCAGTATATTGCAAACATATGTCAATCAAATAACTATGAAACTGAATGGTTGTCTACTGATTGTCAACTGACAGCATTTGACAGGCTCAATGTTCTGTTGAGATATCACATTGTATTCACCTTAAATGTAAGTAGATACAATCAGTAATAAATGTGTAAGACATAAATGCTGAACTCACTGTTTTCAACGAAAAGCTTGGTTGCATGACCAAAGATGAATTTATTGTTAGTGCCAGATGTCACACAGTCTGATACACCAGTACATTAACCAAGTACAATGACTCATTTAAAAATGAATGCCCTTTAATGCTCAGCTATCCAAAAAAATACCTTTATGAATAGGGGAATATAGCATATAAGTTGAAATGTCACATACAATCGTATGCAGATTGCATGTATTTTGACTTGAGCCATTAAGTTTCAGTTCAGGGCGAGCAGTTATTGAGATTTGGCACTGTAAACCTCTAAAGAGATATTTTAAAAGACATAAGCCACTAAATGCTAAATATCGCTGCTTTCGGGAAAACACAATTTTTCAGTTTTTGACATAATTTGAAAAAGCCTCTTGGCCTTTTCATTGTGTGTAAATTTTATGATGAATGGACCAAAAGAAATGGCCCAAAATGACTTATAAAAAAATCTGGTTCAATTGACTTGCATTAAAAGTAAAGTCCTTCTCCTGTGAAGTTACCATTTTGGAGATACCAGGTTTTGTTCCGACAGTAGTGATATATCCACGCATCCCCATGGACAGATCACTGACTGACTGAGGGTTTTATAAACATTTTACATTTACATTTTACATGATTGTACAGAAACAGTCAGAAGACTCCAACTTTGAGTTTGAATCAAATAGAAAAGCCAATTTTGATCAAAATGTAGAGTACACATTGTACCCCCATTGGAAAAACAAGTGAAGAATTAAATTTACTCACTGGATTGAACGATCAGCTTTGTTCCAGCTCCGAATATGAGCTTGTAGTTGGATCCAGACGACCACAGTAACAAACGCCAGTACATAAACCCTCTCCTGCATCTCCCTGCAGGATGAACATGAAAAATTCGGTTTTCAAGAAAAAAAAACACAGTATGGACTTAAAACTCTACCCTCTTAAAAAGATGGTTCTTTTAGGGTTCTTTAGTAAAGGGAATGGTCCTATTTAGAACCATGAGTTCTACATAGAACCATTTCATGCATTAAAACATTATTGGCATGGCGATTTTCAGATTGATGGAGAATGTTTTGTATAGGGTTCTGTTTAGAACCTGTTTGAAAATGGTTCTATGTAGCACCAAAAAGGGTTCTTTAATTGTTATGACATTGTAGGAATAGCAGAACCCTTTATGGTGCTATTTAGAACCATTTTCAAAAAGGTTCTAGAACCATATGCAACATATTCTCCACAAAGAACCATTTAAGAATGAGAACTCATCTAAATAGAACCATTCCCTTTATTAAAGAACCCTTAAGGAACCATCAGTTTTAAGAATGTAGGAGCAGTTTTGTTTCCTTTGTTTGTTTAGTTTTTAGGGGTTTTTTTTTACCATTTTTTTACCATTTAAGCAATCACAAGTCATACAGGGCCAAAGATATTATCAATTGTAATGTATCATATTTAAGCAAGAGCATGTACAATACATTATATACATATATAACAACATACAGACCACAATACTTACATGAAACACTGGAATTGGGCGTTCATAGACAGGTAGGTTCACTTAAATATCCACATAAAAAGCAATCTTGACGTTCATGTTCAAAAACAATGCAAGTTATTTGGAAAATGTTTTAAGTGCACAACAACATACCCAATATTAAAATAAAGGTGGACTTACATTGCCATGGTTGTGCCTCAGTTTCTATGGTCCCACTGGTCACTAAGTGTCCTGTGGGATTCAGGTAATATCCTGCATGGTCCTTAAACAGCAGTTAGATTCGTCAATAAATTCATTTCCCATCTGCCATTTTCCACAAAAACACAGTTTCTCACCAGCTCTAAAACCAGCTAAAAGAAGGGCAAGCTTTCAAGTGAGAGGTGCTGAGAAGCAGTCTGCTTAAAGTAGACCCTGCTGCCCCACTGCCCCACTTTCTACTTACAAACAAGCCCCTTATCCACCATCCACCTGCACACATGGTAGGAAAGTCTCTTTTGTTTGACGTGTATATGAATATTTATGCTGTTGCTTGCTATGTTTGCTTTTGTCTTACTTGGTAAATCTATTTCTAATGCTTGTCCTGAAAAATGTGATTTGGTAAATCATGTAGGTTTTTTTCTAAAACAGTAATTATAGGCCTACATAAGTCAAATTCCATTTTTTTACGCACATCACTCCTCAAACAAGTCAATTAGGGGTCAACAAGGAGCCACTTAGGGAAAACATTAGTGAACAAAATGAACACAGCCAGCAGGGGGAGCTAACTGAGCTGTGCTGATCATACTCTCAGCTGTCTCCTGTCTACAAGAGAGGGTGTTATATAGATCTAACTGCTTCACAATCATTTCTCAGAAATCTCACTCATTCTAGACTATAGAATGGGCCTCACATTGTAGAATTCAAGACTGCTTTCAAAATTTTAAAGGCAAATTCTTTTTACAAATACAAAATCAAAAACGAACAGTATTCATACAGTATTTTTGAAAATCTATCCAAGGTGGAGATAAACATGCAGGCTGTCATGAGGCAAAGTAGTCCCCAAAGAAACTTCTATTTTTCTATTATTATTAATAGGTTCACTGGTGGTTTTGAACATTCAATAAAATGGCTATATTTGAGTTGTAGACATGGTGACCACTGGTTCCTATCACCTCCACTGTAAAGAAATCTGAGTCTGTAAGTTTCTCTACAATGAACCTCTTCACATTAAGCCACTCTGAATTAATTTGTTTACATTTCAGCAAATCAATTATGCAGAAATAAAAAAAAAAACACTTTACATTTTTAAACTTTTAAACACTTTAATAACACTTAAAAAAACACTTTAAACACTTAAAACACTTTAATATATTAAGGTTAAAGGCAGATGAAGTATGATCTTTAGAGTGCAGTAAAAGTTAAAGCTCACAGTAAAATAAAAGTTAAAATCATGGGCTTGAGGCTGAGGAAAAAATGTCAAAAATGTTGGCATCCTTAGTGAAGGTGAGCAAACTAAAGAAGCTATGTGATCATACACTTCCGTCCTGGAGCCACCAGGGGGCGTTAAACAAAGCAGGATGAAGTAAACATGACAGCGTGAGCCCAAAGTCAAGCCGTGTCCAATAGAAGGAGAGATAAAGGAGATTCCTATTCAACAGTACTCAGCTTTTGGCTTAAGTTAACCAATTACAAAACAGCTGCCACTAAGGGTTCTTTGAGCCATTTTCGTTCCTTAAACCATGTTTGCAATTGAGATTTATGAGTCTAGGGAACCATTTAGGAGGTCTCAAAATGTAAAGGTTCTGTACCAAGTTATAGGGTTCTAGAAACTTTACATTATATAGAGGTTCTTAAAACCTTTACCTCCACTATAAGGTTTATTGCCATAAATGATTCTTCTATGACACCAATGCCCATTCCTAGTCCTGGAGATCTATGACCCTGCAGAGTTTAGCTCTAACTCTAGTTGAACACACCAGATCCTGGTAACAAAGGCCTTCAGAGGCATCTAATAATTAGAGCTGGGTGTGCTGGATCAGAACTCTAGAGGATGGTAGATCTCCAGGACCAGGATTTCTGGCCTTCCTTATTTTTAAGGGTCTAACTGAGAAATCATGCTTATGAAAAATCCCTCAGAAATCGAAAACTACAATTAGATGCCACCTCCATACCAAGAAACTATTTGGAAGGCTTGCCAGAAGAAAGCTGTCATCAAACCACAGACCTCAGACTTGCTTTGAAATGAAAAGTTCCAACATTCCTGGAACCTTGACTGGAATCAAAAAAGGTCTATGGGAGACACAAAGCTTTTTTTAGCAACAAACCTAAGTGGGTTTGGCATAAAAAAACCCACGCTGTGGAGTATGAATCAAGCCTGTGTATGGGCTCCTTGATCAAAAGCCCACTGAAAAGCTATGGGGTGAAATGAAGAATCGGGTGTACCAGCGAAGAGCTTTAGATAAAGGTCTCTGAAGGACCTGGAGAGGTTTTTGGATGGAACAATGGTCTCAGATGCTTTTATACATGTGTCAAACACAAGGCCTGTGGGCCAGATCAGGCCTGTGGCACAATCCTATCTGGCCTGCAGAAGTATTTTAAATGTGTGTGCTGCACTACAGGCCCCAGCATTAACTGCAATGTAATGTGTGCTCTGATTCTCTTACCCCAACAACAGTCTATAGGACAGCGATTACACCTCAATTCTACACAATTCTACACAATTCCACACCAGTCATTTCACCAAAATGCATTTCAGCTGCAGTTCAGCCAATATAAACACTTAATGTCAGCTCAGCCTCTCAGAGTCTTAATGAACTTGTAGCAAAGAAAGGATACCAGGTGTTGAGTTCAAGCAAATAGGTAGGTTTAAAAGACTGAGCTCCTGGAGGCATTTAAATTCTGAATATTTCAAGTGTCCATTGTATTATAATTTAAGGTCTACTACACGTGCTTATATTTTACTGCTGAAGTTTTTCCATATTTTGAATAAACAGTGGCCAGTTCGGGTTAGAGCACAACATTTATTAAAGATGGAATAAAACGCTTTTTTTCTCTTGCTCACACATTTGATGAGTTTTTTAATAAAATGGCCCTTTTACTGGAAAAGTCTGACACTGCTGCTTTATACAGTCATATGCAACAATCTGAACATGACCAGTTTGTTGATTTTCTAACTGAAAAAAAGTTCAGATTATGTGTTAACTTATTTTCACTTAGAACATCAATAAAACATGTAAATTGAACAGGGGTGCCCAAATTTTGCATACAACTATATGTGTTCTCTCTCCTCATCTAGCATTATAAGAGAAGACTCACGCTGGTAATTGAAAATACTTCAAAATATAGTGAACATATCTAAGATTTCTCTTTTTATAAGATTATTCAACTTATTTTTAACTGTTTTTACTGAAGTGAATGTATCTAGTTAAATTGTCTGATTCTACTGGCAGATAATTTTACCTAGTTCAAGAAATAATGCTTAAAAACAAGCAAACTTATTTGCCAATGGAATAAAACAATTGTACTAGATAAATAAGACTTAAAACAAGTAAAACTAAGAATATAAATAAGTTAAATAATCTTATAAAGTTCTTTTATCAACCTCATAATAAGAAAGATTACATATATTGACTAGAGTTAAAATGATTTCATTCGCCATATCATTTTTCGCATATTTTGGTAAAGAGAGGGTTCACAAGGTACCACATGCAGGGTTGCCAGTAACTGTAACACATTTTTGCACCTAAATGGATTTTTTTTTGTCTTTGTAAATACTTTTACAGTTATGTGCAAAAGTTTAGGTGGTCAAATTACTTTTTTGTTCACTTTCTATGTGAAAACAAGCTCAAAAAACACACTTCAGTGCATAATTACTGTGTATTTGATGAATTCAACATAAAATACAGGGTGTCCCAAAAAATGGACATCATTTGGTAGTCTAATAACATAGCCAATTCTCCCTCAAATGATCTCAAAATGTGTAAAAAAGTTTAATTTTTAATGTTTTTTTTTTCAGGTTGAAGAATGGCGTTCACTAGAAATGAAAAGGCATTTTGTGTGTTAGAATATGCTCGAACACAAAAGTGTGCAGCATGCATTTTTGAGAAAATTCAATAAAAATGCACCAACTGGAACTGCGCTGGAGACTGTTATGCAAGACATGCTACGGCGTGTTTGGCAGGAGCTGGACTACCGACTTGACGTTGAACATTTGTGAAGCTGTGAAATCAGTTATAAAATCTACATCCCTCTGAATTTCTTGTTCGCATTTTGATAAATAAATCTTGTATTGTTCAACATGAAGTCTATTTAATTTCGTTTGCCCAGGACATGTAGTTACTCAGATATTCACATCACTAATGATGTCAATTTTTTGGGGGCACCCTGTATATTAAAACAAAACAAAAAAGTTATGGCACATTTTATATTTTTGTAACCTGTTAAATTCAGAAACTGTGCCTTTAATTATGCCATATTTAGCTTCTCAGAAGAGAATGCATTACTTAATTTCACTCAGAAAACCAACAAAACATAATAGCCGGGGGCGCTCAAATGTTTGCATATGGCTGTATATCACTAGAAGGTCTGTCTTTTACATTCAGTGTCAAGTTAATAGATGACCTGGGCCCAGTTTCCCAAAAGCATGTTAGTGTTAAGACCATCTTAACGGGTAGAGAGAGTGTTCGGTGTGATGCTCGCTCTACCATTTAAGAATCATCTTCGTGCTGTGATGCTTTTGGGAACCCCAGCCCTGAACATTTTCCACAAATTTGCATGTTACACAAAAGTGTAATTCTGAAGGGCAATGTCTGCATCAGCTTGTTGTTTGTTTCTCAGCTGTAGACTGCACGCTCGCTTCTTGGAAACCAAGATCTTTATCTGTGGTTCTCGCTGTGCCTCATGCAGCCATGTGCTGTTAAACCTGTGGTTTAGACACCCACTCACAAAACTGCACTCTTTCTGCAAGCTGAATTTTATTTGTTGCAGTCATTTTTAACATTGAACACTATATGCACACTGGATTTCAGGTAAAAAGTAGAAAATATGACTTAAAAGAGATAAACTTAAGAAAATGACAGTGAGCTTCATTATGTACAAAAGTACAGTACCATTCAAAAGTTTGGAATCACTGTTCTTATTATTGTAAAACCTATTTTGTTGCAGGTACATGTATAAAACAATGCCTTTGTACTTTACACTTCTACCAATATGTCAAACTGTGCATGATTAAAACATTAAGAGTCATTCAGAGTGGTTTGGTGTGAAATGCTCCATTCTAGAGAAACTTAGTGAATCTGAATGGTTTATAGTGGTGGTAATAGGAACCAGACGTCTGAAAAGTTTAATGCCTCTAAAAGCTCCATTACAGAAAGTTATTATATAAAATTGTTATAAATACACTGCCTGATGACTGACATACTGTTCTACCATAGGTGGAAGATGAGGCTTTGGTTTAACCCCTTTAAATCCCAGGCTCATTACATACTAAAGGCTTATTATTCAGTAACTGCAGTTGGTTGAGCTATTCTTAGGTTATCAAAGTGTTTAATAAAACTGGCCATTAAAGGGTCAAAACATAATTTTAATCCATTCATAGCAGTGAGGTACACGGTTTTGTAAGGCAAAATACTACCCAAACTTTTTTATCACTATTTTACTTTATTTACTATCAACATTACATATAAAAACCCCAGAGATATGTGTAGGTTCACTGGTTGTTTCAGGTGGTCAGTAAAATGGCTATATTTGCGTTGTAGACATTCCAACCCTTGGTTCCCATCACCACCACTGTAAAGAGATCACTGATCCAAGAAAGTAACTCAGAATGGAGCATTTCACATTGAGCTATTCTGAATGGCTTTGTTTATATCTGATTGAATTATGTAGAAATTTTGGAAAATAGGTGGAATTCCCCTTTAATAGGTCTGAACTAATTAGTACGAGGTGGTAAAAATGAAGAAAACGTCCAGTTTGTCCAGAATGATGAACCAAGCTGCAGATCACTTCATAATGAATAAGGAAGCTGCACAATAAAATAAAAGGCAGCATTTGTTTATTATTATTTTATTTACTCTATTTCTTATTATTTTATATTTATTTTATTTCTTTTGTACTGTATGTAAATGAGCTTAATTATGATTGGTTGCCCTGTATTGCCTTATTCAAAATGCAATCTAGACAGAAACACTCCTTACAGCTTCAGCATGAGTGGGCGGGGCCAAACTGCTGTAGGCTAACATAGCCGGATATCTAAATGTGTTTGTTTTACGACACATCTATGACCATAGATGGACTGGAGAGCGGACTGTATGTCTTAAAACTTGAAACATCTATCATTTCAAAATGTAGTTTATTTATTATCATTGAATAACTTCTTTTTGTTCTCAAAAACAACCTGAAATATGAAATAAAATATCTTAAAATACCTTCTGGTGTCTAGTTTATAGTATTACAAAGTAATATTCTTCATTGTAGTAGGTATTATTGTGTAAAACAACAGCAATGGTAATGGGGAGGGTCTCTTATACATGCAGGGGCCCAGTCTCATACCTCGGCTTATCCACAGTGATGCAAAGTACTGCTCCCCCACCAAACTATGTATTTACTAGATAAATGGTTTTCAAATAACATTATGTTCGCTATTTTTGGCTCATGGTAACAGGTAGGGCAGCACCCCTAATGGACGATATGCCCCCCCCCAGCAATTATGACTATGAACCATAATATGACTATAATATGACAAATGATTCCAAACTTTTGAATGGTACTGTAGGCATATATCAACTAGCCATTATTCATATATGTACTTTTCACAAAGCCTTAAAATGTATCAATACTACAGTCTGAAAGCGTATCGAGATGTATGAACACTACTAAAATAAACGTTGCAAATCATGTCAAACTAAGCATATCATCACTGTTGGACAGCAACCTCACATCGCCAAAAGAGTAACTTATCAGGAGATGGAAAAAAGCTTGGTAACACTTCATTTGGATGGTCCACTGTAGATGCTCAGTAAATATTTACTAAATGCAACTGAACTTGAAGTTGTGTGTGACAGATTCTATTAAATCTAACCCTAATCCTAAACTGAACCCTAACCGTAACCTCAAGGCAAAACCTACACCTATTTGTTAATAGCATAAGTATCTGTAGATCATCTATAGGGGACCATCCAAATAAAAAGTGACCAAAACTCTCTTAACTTTCAGTCTAAGTTCATGTAAAAAGATTTAATTCCAAGCTATATTAGCATAATATTCTGTCAATCATTATAAAACGTTTAAACAGTATAAAGAGAAGCTGGCATTTTCAAATTAAGACAAAAAATGAAGAAGGACTTTTTGTTCCAATGATGACGATATGCAAAATAATTGCAGAAAAAAAACTGAAAAGAAAGAATTTGCATATCGCTGTTGTTGGAAGAAAACCTCGTATCTCCAAAGTGATAATTTTACAGGAGAAGGAAAAAACCTCCTTTACTTTTAATGTAAGTCAATGGAACCAGAGATTTTTCCAAGTCATTTTGGGCTGTTTTTTTTGCTCCATTCATCATGAAATTTACATACAATGTAAAGGCCAACAGGCTTTTTCAAATTATGTCAAAAACTGAAAAACATTAAAAATGGAGATACAAGGTTTTGTTCTGACAACAGCGATATGAACATGGTATACTTTAAAAATGTGACCAGTACTGCTTTCTTCTAATGTGCCATCAGACTAATTGGATATCAGCAAACAGCAGGTTATAGGCATTGCAGTTACTTTTTTCTTTAGGCAAGAAATGCTTTAATCGTCATCATCACATTTACCGCGACAGCTTTAGCCAACAGAAGTCGAAGACCTGTCACGAGCAAGGACAGTGAGTTGCTCTTAAAGTCATCTGCAGGAGAGAGAAGAGTTGTAGTGTGAGTATGGCCTTCTACAGTCAAACATTTAGGACTGACTTTTATCATAACAATGTCTACTAAATACTTACCAGTATTATTGATCTCTTCAGTCTTGTTGGTCGCTTTGCTTTGGGGTTCACAATCATTCTGGGTTTGTTCTTTTGTTATCCCTGCCAAAGAATCCCAAATTCATGAGCTTTCAGCCAACCGTATGTAGCCATGTGTGCCAAAAAGGCCAAACAGATGCTCACCTTTTTCTTCAGGACTCTGTTTGCTTGCGTCTTTGCCATTCATCTTGCATTGTCCAATGTTTCCAGTGGAATATCCAGCATAGTAATATGTGCCGCTGGTTGTGGACAGTACAGCCTTGTTGGCTTCATGAGAAACAGTCTCGTCTCCAGTCAGAGTCATGCTCCCCTGTTTAGGAAAGAACCCTGCAGCCAGGCACATCTGTGGTCCATCACCTATGTGAGGGGACAGGATTGACAGAGTAGGTGGTACCGCATGCTTATCCTCTGGAGGAGAGAAAATAAAAGATATATTTAATATTAAAGATACAAGCTCGCTGACCAAAAAACAGAAATTTCCATTTTCCAGTGTTTTTTTCACATCATTTGAGCACAGCAGTTGCCAACAATCCAACAATCTAAAATTACTTGGAATCTCTTATTTGGAAAATCTATATTTTTCATTTTGTCATTCAGCCAGAAATGATTACTTTTTTTCACAATTTGTTCTCACATTAGTTTCAAGATTCAATAGAATTAGATTCAGAAACAGAGGTTTAGGATCCCCCCTTTACAAAAAGGGGATTATCCCTTGAGGAAAAGAAAAGCATTACAGTCAGTTCAGAGTGAAAATGTCCAAACAGGAAGCCTAAATTCAGATATTATTTCTGCAAGTCACACAGTTTCCTGGTTGACGGCACCTGTGTGGAAATTTGCTGGATCAGATTCTTTACACTTGATCAAGAAAAGCTTTCAGAAAAATCTCTTAGGAACCCTAGGACATTTGGCATTACTACAAAAAAAACATGACACATTAAAACTAGGGCCAGACTGATATATCGGTTGGATGATAATATTAGTAAAAAAAATAGCAAAAAAAATATAACACATAATGGACTTGTAATTAGGGACTTTTTTTGGTAGCAGCATCACACAGAATCAAACTTGCAACCTCCCACTGAAGTAACTGATACACCTAAACTGCAAAGAATTATGGATATTGCATTCTTCAATATTTATATCATTTAAAACATTTCCCAGACCTAGAATAAGCCTAAGCCAAGACTAAAAAGAATTTCCTATGGTTATTCATCACTAGCACTGCAGTTTAGTCCAAAACTACACTGTAAAAAATGAAAAGTCAGCATGTTGTAAAATTATATTACAATTATATTGTAGACAAAGTTCTCCCAGCTTACATTTTTAACAATGCATCTCAGTTAGAAACATAGAATATAATTTTTTTTTCCAATTTCCCCTCTAGCTGAGTCTCTTTCAATCACACAGCAGGTTCTTCCTCTACTTGAACTTGGATGGCTGTGGCATCGCTGGGGTTTGAACTCATAATCATCTGACTTTGGGGTAAATGCTAAGACAGTGGTGTCACTCAATAAAAGTAAAGTTACTAAAGTTACTCAGTATGTTTAATGCACTATAAAAGGGTGTGCTTTAATTTTAACCAAAAAAGTGCTACATAGGCCAACAAACAAACAAAAGTGAAGTCATAATCTATTTGGTGAGGAGTGATAATCACGTCAGTGCCTAAAGCACAGTTTAACTAAAATTGGAGTATAAAATTAAAGCCGAAAAGTCTCACTGCTTTTACGGAATGCAGAAACTTTGGGGCCTTAATACATAATATACATAATATAATCTATGTGTGCAGTCAGTTGTGTAAATTGAGTCCTTTATGCCTTATTTTAAAGCCTGAGCTGCAGGTTCTATAATTACCAGTTCAGTGCTTATGCAGAGATGATTAATGTGTCAAAACAGCATCTAAAATCTGTCTTTTCCACAAAACAAAGACATTCTGCAGAGGAGACAATGATTCATTGTGTCTTAGGTCTGTTTAGATGTATTTGATCTGTATTGCGTTCATGCTTCAGTTCATTTTGAAGTGAACCAAGACCGACCTGCTCAGAGGGTCTCGATCCGCTCCTTTGGTGTGCACCAGAGTTCACACTTGCTCAGGGTTCATTTTAATTGTACCAAACCTTAAAGCCCTAACACAGACTATCTATGACAACAAAATGTTGAAAAATGGGTAACACTTCATTTGAAGGCTACGTACATAAGGACTTCATTACACATGAATAATGTATTTGTAAAGCAATACTTGAGTATTTATGAACAGCTTATGTTATTAATCACAAGATGACCTAAGATGTTTAATGAAATAAATAACATTGTACTGACATAAGCCACCTTAAATTGAAGTGATAAACATTTTTTTTTTCATTTATAACACTGTTATAACTATGTCCTTCTCAAACGATGAAGCTTATACAAGGCTATGCAGAAGCCTAGATAAAAATACTATATCAGTTATTGGCAGGCTCACTACATTTACTTCATTAACATCCTATGCCATCTTGCGATTAATGGCATACACTGTTCATTAATACTGCTTTATAAGTACATAATTCAATACTTATTCATGTGTTTTAAAGTCCTTTTGCAGGTAGCCTTCAAATAAAGTGTTACCGAAAAATATTTGAATAATACTGTAATGCATTCTTTGTGCATATATTACCATATTCATAAGGTCAAGCCAATAAATGATGTAATATATAGTTTTGTGCAATATTTTGGTCAACACATTTTAAAATTCTAACTCAAACAAAGCCTATACTAACCGTGGCAGGTTAAGCTTATGTATGAGTAATCTTTGGACCGTAATAGTGTTTATAATGTTACAACTGTACAAGTAAAATGTGTATTTGGGGGGCATGCAGCATTTGGACCCTCTTCCCTTGTATCTTTATTACTGTTCTTTGTAACATTTCATCACTAGATAGTACTTCACCTAGTCCAGTTTTTGGGGTGTTACGATACATATTATGCACATATTAGTATTCTTTTTTTTTGTCTCAATATGGGGCTTGCAAACTATACATGCTGTGACATATAATTTGATTTTACAAATAAAATATTTGTGATTTTTGACACATATTAATTTTCAGTACCATTCACTGTTAAAAAAAAGTCTTTCTTAAAACAGAAGAAAAAACTTTTAATTTATTTGTCTGCAGCCTTGTTGTGGCAAGTGGACGCTGACCAAAGAAATATTTATATATTTGGAAGATTTTGGGCCTTTTCTGTTGGTCTATTCATCATGAAATTTTGATGCAACATAAAGGACAACGGCTTTTTTCAAATGATGTCAAAAAATGAAAAACAACAAAAATGGTGATACGAGGTTTTGTACTGACAGCAATGATAAGCGAGATACATGCTGGCAGCTCTTTTTACATCTGTATGAATTTTGTGTAACGTTACGTGCAAAAATTGCCGACAACTCCAGCGAAGAGGTGCACAGAGTAGCTTAAAAGTACATTTTGCATACAAGTGACATTACTTTACTAAAGTAATATCTACCAAAACATGTCAGTAAGAGCCTTTAAGGTGAAAAATCTACTCATATACCAAGTTACTCTAATTCATATTACAGTTAGTTCTTAGTTATGTGTACTTGTTTATTTTACACTCTTTTTATTTTACGCTATTTCTAGTCTGAAGTAAAGCATTAACGCTGTCTGGGATAAAGCATGATTCAATTAAACTTCACAACCATACTTTAACTTAAAATTACTACCAACTGTACATCTTCTACCAGTCAACACATTGCTAAGAAAAATTATTATTGCCACGTCTGTTCCAGTACTCGACTCTTTTTCTCCTGAGTGCAGCTGTCTGAAACTTTGAAGGAACCTCGGTCTGAAATTACGCTTTGGACATTAGAGCTCATGCTCTTAGAATCCATAGTTACAGTTGTGTGCAAAAGTTTGAACACCCCCAGTCAAATGGCATGTTCTGTTGATTTTCTGTTAACACATTTCTAAGTTAAACTAACACAAACTTAAATATGGCATTTTTATGGCAAGATTTGGCCCATAGTTTCTATTTAAATGCTCAACATATTGGAAATAAACACATAAAATATAAAATGGGCCCCAAATTCTACAACCTTTTGCTTGGTACTTGGGGTGCAAGACTTTAGTAAAGTAATTACTCAACTAACCTAATCAAACACTTCAGTAAGAGCTTACTATGTGAAAGAACTACTAGTTAGTTCTTTCACATGGTAGCAGATTACTCTAATTCATACTACAGAATTTCACTGTTACTGCTTTGTTGAGTAACTTGTAATCTCCAGTCAGAATACATGTTGATTTTCTAAGTGGAAATCAGAGTTATCATATTTTAGTGCACAATGTCTATTTAAATTTAACATTAAAATACAAAATGTGCCCTAAATTTTTTGGTCAATAACTTTTGGATAACTTTTATACAAACCACATTTTAGGATTATTTTTATTCCAATATGTTAAATTAATTGTGTAAACAGTAAAAGTGCATTAAAATGTGCAAACTTGTGTTCTATTTAAAATATAAGACTAAGAAAATCAACAAAACTATTTGGCTCAAACTTTTGAAAGCTTTTTACACGTATCAGTCGCACTTCTCAACAGGTCTTTTGCACCTGTTTGGGGCTTGTGTTTTGTAGATCTTACCACACATACAAGAGAATATCAGTTTAACCTCCATTTCTTGTTAGCATTTCTGACAGTTGGAACTGGAAGAGTTTCAAGAGTTTCTAAGTCCTTTAAGTCCTAAAACAGCTGCTTAAAAGAGTGCACAATTGCTATAATATTCCTCCAAATGTACTTTAACATGGGATTGTAATTATGAATGTAATTTGAACTGCAAGTAAACAAAATAAGCATTTCTATCCCTCATAAAACTGTGTATTTAAAGAATTCCTCTTATTTTTCTCATTTTCTGCATAATTTAGAGCTCTTTTAGGGTGGTTTGATGTAAAATGTGCCATTCTGATGGGAACCAGAGGTCCAAAGAGTTTAATGCCTCTAAACTTTTCCTCACAGAAAACTATTACACATTTGACACACTGTCTAATGCCTGAGATTGTTTTATGATAGTCTTCTAATATTTCTCATTTTGAGATGTTTCTTACTTATTATAAGCGATTTTAGTAGGTCAAATTATTTTTACTATACTTGGCAGATAAATTTGTTTGTTTCAAGCACATTTCTTACACATTATTTGCATATTTCTGCCAAAATAGTGAGATAATTTGACTAACTAATATTTTTAAACAAGTAATAAACATCTACTAATATTAGATATCTATTAATATTAGATATCTCAACTAGATTTAAGAAAATTTCCCTTACCAAGATATAATTTTTTGCGGTATAAAGTAATGGTACTGATTTTTGCACAATTTAAACTGAATATTTTACTACATTGTTGCACTCCACAGGTGAACATGGCAGGCTACAAATAAGCTATTCTACATAAAGGATGCATTGGAACATCATTTAAACTGTTTAACTCTCTGGTGAACTTTCGTGCTTTTAACAGTACAAAACTACTGCCAATTTTGAGATCTCCTACTGAAGATTGGTTGAATACAATTTTCACCCTTCAGTTCGAGCTGTGTTTATAGCATTCTTTCTAGCAACAAACTAGAAAATATCTGTGCACATCCAACCCCAGTCACTGGTCATTCTCTCTAGTTTAGAGTCAGTACAGCTAAGCAAGAACGATTAAGAGACGTGTTTCAAGCAACAACCTGCAAATGAAGTCTTGGACACAAATCCACTCAAAATTCAACACTTTTTCATTCTGCCGTCAAGAAATGAATGCAATAAACAACTTACTTGGTTCGACGCGAAGAGAAATCGGCTTTCCAAAAGTCAGTGGATCAGTGGCAGCACTGCTTTTGTAAGCCTTACAAATACTATCTGACTCAAGACTACCTCAAGTTCAAGAAGCATCACCACATATAAGCCTAACAATAACACTATAGTACCGAAAAATGAACAGAACAATAACCCTGAATTCAAAAAAACAAAGAACAGGGATGTTTTTAAGCATTTTTATCAGAAAAACGTCCACCTAGCACTCCTACATATGTAGACTTTGAAGGCTTCAAACAAAACTTCCAGTCTTTCTATGTCATTACTACAAATTCTGGCCAAATAAATTTACGAGGCAGAAAATCAGAGGAAATACAATGTTCGAATTGTACATAGTTGTTTTACTTACTTGGATTGACGGTGAGTTTGATGGGTTTTCCAAAAGTTAGCTCTGCAGACACATCGCTTAAGCCTTTAACAATATCCCTTAGCGATGACCATGGTCTTTATGTCCACAGCAAGACATTTCTCACTGACCAGAACACAAGTTCTACAAAATCCAGTGAGAAAACTGAAGTTTGGTGTAGTCTGAAGAGGCCTCCAGTCCCCTTTCATACTTATATCCACATGCATACTCCAACACATGCCTACGATAAAATGCAAAAAATATATCCAAAAATTAAAAAAAAATTTAAAAAGTGCAAAACAGGCATAAAACAGTGACTGTCCAGCTGGTATTCCAAACATTAGGGGGTCTCCAGATATTAGATTTTCTTCCAAATAAAGAAAAACAGTGTTTAGATTTTTGTACGAAGCTTAACGGGTTTTGAAGCACTGTGGTAGTCCCAAACACCGTGATAAACGCCATTACAAAAACCCTCGGACTGTTTGGGCAAGTCGTCAGTTTGTGCGGTCCTTTGTGCAGTGGGAAAAAATTACACCCCATTAGTATTATTTCTAATACAAATTACTTCTAATACGAACAAACTATTGTATGTTGCAGGTAATGACCAGTCAATGACCAGTCATGTGAGTTGATTTTCAGAGCATATCGACATTCAGCACTGGTGAAGTTCAGCGGACTCCTCTTCATGCAGTTCCACAACAGTAAAAAGTATTAAAAAGATCCATAAGCTTGAAAAAATTCTTGTAAAAGATGAAAAATTTACCCGAAGCACCTTGTTTTAGTGTCTAAACAATGTCAGACAAGTAACGTGACAGTGCAACGTCCTTTAAACCCTACAGCAGGTTTTTGTACGAGGCTGTTAGGGAAATGAACCACTGTGGTACTCCAGTCCCACAGTGTGAAATGCCTGAACAAAAACCCTCCCTCAACATGCATGTGGAGGATACACTGAATGGGAAAGTGAAGATTTTATGCACACATTTCTGTTTGTTTTAAAACAGCAATATAATTTTATCACCATTTGTTCCTACTTTACGTTGCGCTATTGTTCATGTAAATGAATAATCACAATGTTACACATTAATATAGTAATATATTTAGTGGAAAGTCCCACACATTCACTGAGAATGCACAGCTGACTATATAAAATTAGTCCTTCTTTATTCCACTCATAACCAACACAATGCTAAAACATATTTTAGTAACATATCGCTGTTGTTGGAAGAAAACCTTGTATCTCCATTTTTGATGGAGACATGATTTGAAAATACCTGTTACCCTTTACATTGTAAATTTCATGATGAATGGACTACAACCCCATTTCCAAAATAGTTAGGATGCTGTGCAAAATGTAAATAAAAACAAAATGCAATGATGTGCAAATCATTTAAACCCTATATTTAATTGAAAATATAACAAGGGCAATATATCGAATGTTGAAACTGAGAAATTTTATTGTAAATATATGCCATGTATATGAATTGGATGCCAACAACATGTTCCAATAAAGTTGGGTCGGAGGCATGTTTACCACTGTATTTCATTACCTCTCCTTTTAATAACTCTCTGTTAGAGTTTGGGAACTGAGGAGACCGACTGCTGTAGTTTTGAAAGTGAAATGTTTTCCCATTTTTGCTTAACATAGAATTTCAGCTGCTTAACAGTTCGGGGGCTCATTTGTCGTATTTTTCATTTCATAATGTGCCAAATGTTTTCAGTGGTGACAGGTCTGGACTGCAGGCAGGCCAGTGTAGCACCCGGACTCTTTTAATACCTAGGAATGCTGTTGTAGTACATGCAGAACGTGGTTTGGCATTGTCTTACTGAAATAAGCAAGGCCTTCCCTGAAAAAGACATTGTCTGGATGGCATATACGATATATACATATTTCCAAAACATGTATATATCGTATATATGTATATAATGCTGCCTTCACAGATGTGCACATCACCCATACCATGTGCACTAATGCACCCCTATACCTTCATGAATACTGGCTTTTGAACTGATAGCAAGCTGGGTGATCTTTAGCCCAGAGGACACAGATTTCCAAAGAGAATTTCAATAACCCAGCTATTAATATAAATGTGTCCCAAAGTCTGAAAATCTGTGTGGAACATTAAGAACTGTCACTACCGAAACACATATTTTCGTTTTTGTGTTTTAATGAAAAAATCGTGTGATTTTATGTGTGTTCGGCTATTCAAAGCTGTGTTTGGAAAGTCATGCACAGGCTCCCATTTTTGAGTTCTGCTCAGAATGAATTAAAATTGTCACTACTGAAACAGTCACTACTGAAATGTTTGGTAAAGTTTTTAGTAGGGTTATGATTGTTTCGGTAGTGACAAATGGGAATGTTCTATATCTTCCTCTGATTTTTCTTTGGTATGCAAGTAGATTATCTTCCATCTAACCTTCTTAAAAATATCTCCCAAAAAAAATATATAACTTCAAAGGAAATTCCTCAGATTTTTCAAACTTTCTGTTAAAATGTAAACAAATGCTTTCAGTGGTTTGAAGTGAAATGGTGCACTGCAAACAAATTTACACACTGTAAAGATTTTCTTGTTCACTTTTTCATAACAAAACACAAAGAGTTTTACTTAATAGGCGGAGCCTTATTTTAGACCACGAAGTGAGACTGCATCCCTGTCCCTTATGGCCACAGGGTGAACAGTTAGATCTCATTGTTTTGAAGTAAATGTGTCCCAAAGTCTGAAAATCAGTGTGTAACATTTACAACTGTCACAATTGAAACATATTTTCTGCAATTAACTAAACTTTTTTTGTGTTTCAATGAAAAATGACTATGGTTTTATGTGTGTACAGCTGTCCAAAGCTGTGTTTCGTCTCCCCCAAAGGAAGAAATACATAGCCCACAAGAGTTGTGCAATAATGCTGCTTGTTCTTATTTACACTTTTTCCACACACACACAACTTTTAGCAGCATTTTTTGATTGGTCAGCACAATTTAAACATTCAAAATGAAAGTGCAACTGTGTGCTAAAGTTTCAACACTCATTGTAGTCTATACCTCAATGGCATAGCAAAAAACAAGTTGCAATGTAGACCATAACCTATAACTTAACATAAAAATAATAGCATTTCCAGTATAAAATGTACAGTGGAACACAGCACGGTAGATTTAGCATCATAAGGCGCTCACAACTGAAATTTTAGGCTATTACTCTTGATATTAAGTTAGCTACATTACATGCTGTGCTCATCTGTCTCGTGACTAAGGTTGTCAAAATTGAGCAAAATTGATGAACACAGGTTCAAATCATTCGAATATCTATTTTTTTTTCATAAGACGGCAAACCAATACAACTAGAGAGCTGCATCAGATTTAGTTGCCCCTCAAATTCACATTCCCCTTCATGAATCATGTCACCAGGAGCACATTCACTGAGCCGAAATCAGCACCGATCAAGGCTGCAACTGCAGACAGTAAAAAAGGGTGTAAATCTTCGCTTTGCCACAGACTGGATTATTAAATTGAGGCATAAGACTTTTTCACCCATTTCACTCTCCATTGCTTCAGTGCTTTGTGTTTGCACACTCACCAACCATGATTTATCAGGGGGGACGTGAACCTGAGGAGGAACTGATTCCGATGTCTTTGGATTGGGGTGGGAACTGTCTGCCATCATTACCACACAATTGTTGTTGAATTATTTGTTCGTTTTGACTGGACTTACATTTCACTTTAAATCATGAAAGTGACATTGTGTGACTCCTGTCCTTCATGCAGTGTATTCAGTGCAGCGGCCCAAGCCCACATGAGAACTTACAAGACAGACAGCCACAATTGACTATTAATTTTCAGAGTCTAATGTTTGTTGTTTTAGTATTTGATTATATAATCAATTTAGAATATTTGGTGACAGCCCTAGATTTTGACTCATCTTACATGTTTAGTGAAGCATTTATGTGATAGTTTAGGCTAAACTGATCGTATTGGATTATTCTTTGTTTTTTGATCCAATATAATCCAGTGATTTTGGCCAGCATTGGGTTGATTGAGGGCAGTCATTGGCTGGAGGTTAGGGAACCAACTGCCAAGATTGCGGAGGTTGTTGGGACTTAATAAGTGTCTCTTATATCATTGCTGAGTGTCAGATCGGCGCACCCCTATATTGAACCATTTTCTTTACTAAAGAACCCTTGAATAACCATCTTTTTTAAGAGTGTATGTTATGCCATATGGTTATTAATATGTTGCTAGGTTGTTGCTGTGCTTTCCCAGGTGGTTGCTAAGATGCTGCTAGACTGTTGCTATGCTAGCCCAGGTGGTTGCGATCCAGATGGTTTTTCAAGCCAACTCAGTAAGAAGACCAGGAAAACCTAGTTTTGATGGACCATCATCGTCGTGTGGCATCTTCAGTTTGGAATACAAATTTGGAATAAAAAGAAAAATGGTGCATTTTCTAGGGTTTGGACAGAACTGCAGTGAATGCATGATTTTGCATAACTTATATGTTTGCAGTGATAAACAGCATGTATATGAAGTAAAACAACATAATAACCATAACCCAAGAATGCAGTTTAGTGTAGCTCTGGGCTGACCAGCTAGCTCAGATAGCTTGTACAGCTAACAGGCTAAGAAGTGTCAGCAATAACTTTGAAAGTCTTACCAGTTTAAATATACTTGTTTGAGTGTAGCCACTGTAAGCAGTATTAA